AACAGCCGAGTAGTAGTCTACTAGTACTAGATCTACAACATGCCTACAATGCTACATGTGTACTACAGCATTATTATTCACGATTCAGACTTCAGTCCCGGACTTTCCATCCAGGAAATCGCCGTGTGGATTCAAATAATTTCAAACGGTGAAAGCGAAGAGTTCAAAACTCAGAAAACCAAAACAGAATAGAGCCACCTTCCCGGAGTAGCTTGGATGAAACAGAGTCCCCAGTTAGACATGGTCACTGAGATATGCGCACTATTATGATTCGCTACAGTGTGGCTTGCGTATGCGACCTTTCCAGCTAGTAACCGCTATTTCCAATGTTTCGTTCCTGCGAAATTAGATGGAGGGTGAAGTGTCAAACCTAGTTACTTCAGTGCTATCAGTCTAGTAGTTAGCCATTACCTATCCCTGTTATGTTCGGCAACGAGGTGAAGGCACTGAATTATCTGCGAGGATGGCTGAAAGAGCGATTACACAATTGTGTAGATGATCTGCTGGATAGACTTATCAGCGATGGAGTTTTCACTGGCGGAGATGCGGCCGTGTCCGAAATCAGAAGTGAGAAAGATGGACACAAGCAAGTGGATATATTGTTACGTCGGTTAGTCGCTATCCGTGGCAAGAAGGGTGTTGGTGTTTTCCCCAAACTCTGTGAAGTGCTTCGAGATATAGGGCGAAAAAACACTGCTGACAGAGTGGAGACTGAAGCCAGGATATATGAGAAAGTTGGAGGGAAATTAGCAGATCTGGGAAATTGCCAGCTTTACCTGGAAGGGTTAAGTTTGTCGGAGCAAGTCCATCAAGTGGTGGTGGAGTATGAGAGACGACTGGGTACGAAACAGAAGAAGCTGGAACAGTGCCTGAACCGCTTGGATGAAAAACTACGCCGTACATGTGTACGAGTTAGCGAGAGAGCTGACAATGTGTCTCTGCACAATCTTGTCACCGACACCAAGACGTGCTTCATACCCATGCAAGCTGTGAGCCAACAAGAAGCTCTACGCTCACCAATTCACAGACACCATCGAAGTGACAGCAATACCAAGGTGCTTCAAGGACGAGAAGTGGAGAAACGCGGGAAGACATTTTGTCTAGAGCACCCTAAGCAACTGCTGATGAAAAGCTACAGTGGTGCTATCAGCAGAGAAAGTGCAAATAGTGGAGACGCTGCCTCCGCAGCAACTAGCACGGATAGTGCAGAAGACGTGCTGGTAAAGAGATGTATGCTGATTGGTGGAGCAGGTCAAGGCAAAACCACAGTCTGCCGTAAAATACTCTCTGAGTTTCTGGAGAAGGAGAGGACAGAGCTACGGCAGTTCAAGTATGTGTTCTACATCCCATGTCGCAGTGTGGAGCGAGTGACAACTGAAGACTGGATTGTCCTGTTGGGATTAAAAAGCTTCACAGCGGATGAGAGTCATCTGGTGATGGAATACCTCGCCACTCATTCAGCAGAGGTGCTGGTTATCTTTGATGGCGTTGATGAAGCAGGTCCTGGATTTCATGCATCTTCAGCCGCACTGGCACTGATTAAAAACAACAGCGATGATGATGACAGCAACGCAATGCCGAGTCGCCTCCCTGATGCTACCGTCATAGTAACAAGTCGGCCATGCCAGCTAGCTTACGACCTTGTCCCATTGTGTACGTTATGCTTCCGACTCACCGGTTTCAGCGAAACACAATTGAAAGAGTTCTGCTTCAAGCACCTCGACCGAGACCAGGCAAAGAACTGTGTTCAGCAGCTGGCAGAAACATCCAGCCTGGCTTTGAAGAAAGCAATCCAGAACACTCCTCTCCTGGCAGCACTCCTTTGTCAGCAGTTCTCCGACACATTGTCTCTTCCACGCAGTGTTACGTCGTTCTACACTCAGTTCCTTTACTCTACAGTTGTCAAACTAGAGGAGAGAAGGAAGAAGAAATTTGGCAAATTTGGCAACGTATCTCTAGCTGAAGATGTCTACAGCCAGTTACACGGTGGCAGAACGTTCCATCGTGGAGAGAAAGTCAGCATCAGGAGCGTCTTGGAGTATCAACTGGAGAAACATGTAGCCGATGTCACAGCTGATGGCTGTGATCCACATGCTGTCCGGTTGATCCAAGCACTGCAGGAGCTATATGACCTCTGCCTTGATGGCCTGTGTGCGAATGAGCTGTCGTTTGCACATTCATCTCTATCAGATAATGCTCTGTCGGTGTGTGTTGACCTGGGTCTTGTGACAAGCGCTAGCATCGAGCCTGTTTGCGCCGAACTCATCGACTGCTTCTCCTTGATCCATGCTACCGTACAAGAATGGTGTGCAGCCCGATCAGCCAGCGTCAATCTTGAGTTTGTCAGTGTCGTTGCTGGGTGTGTGGAAGGTATCGGTGTTGATGAAGACTCCTGGCCCTTCTGGAAGTTCCTATGTGGGTCGGTGAGGTATGAGCATTTGTCCACGGTTTTGAGAATGGTTTGGTCAGCAACACCACGCACCAACACCCACCGACGCCGAAAGAAACTTCATCTGTTCCTGATGCAGTGTTTGCTGGAGAATGAACTCACTCTTCTAGAAGGCGAGACAATCACAACCAATGACGACTGCTTATCTGCCGATGATCTGCGTACAGCTTGTTACGTGGCGGCGGCATCTTGCCTGACGTCGGATGGCATTGACTTGGACGGTGAACATCTGGACTCGGTGGATGTGATGGCAATCTGTGTTACAATGCAGCTTGTCCATGATGTGAAGAATCTTGTGCTGTCCCATTGCAATCTCTCTCACGATCACTTTGTCCAGCTGGCTCAAATCCTAGACCGTGCGGTGGAAGTGAACATCACTGGGAATGATGTGGGAGGCTCATCACTTGAGGTCATTGCCTCAGAACTATCGCAATCAACACGGAACAACCCAGTGCTGCTGGATATGCGGAACGCCAGGCTGACTCACGGTCGACGTGACGGCGCCTCTTTGTCACGATGCCTGCAGCACGCCAGCATCAAGCGACTGTACATACATGGCTGCGACCTGGGTAACGCCGGCCTTGCTGCTTTCGCAAGCACACTGAAGACATGCGAACACCTCCATGGGCTGAGTATCAGCCAATGCAGTTTGGCAGCAGGGTCTGGAGAAGACCTAGTGTCTCTCGTTGCACAGCTGCCGAATTTGGTCAACTTCTGGGTCAATGACAATTTGTTACCGAACAACGAAGTAGAGATGCTTCTCTCTGCACTGCCTGGCTGTCATGAAATGGAGTATCTGAGCTTGCTTAACAACCAACTGGACCCGGATATTGCCAGTGGCTTCCAACAGTTATTCCGAGGACGGCGGGAGTATGAAAACCAGTGTTCAGCCGACCCTAACAGCCCGGCATGTCCGACTTTATACATCTCGTTGAGCGGAAATGACATTGGCCGGCAATTTCTGATCGATCTCGAGAAATCAGTACCGATGGGCCAAGACGTCATCGACATCTGCAGCTATCATATGTACGCAGGCAACGTGCAAGAAGGGCGCATTTCAGCTGCGATAGAACAGGACGGAGGATTCCTACTCGGCTATGCACGTGAGGAGGTATTACCACAACTAGCCGAGTATCTTGCCAGTGGCCAGGATCTTCCCTATCTCAACGTGACGCAAAACAGAATGACTGATGTTGGAGTGACATTGCTTTCAAGAGAGGGCCTTGCCCGCAACTCAAGCCTTCAGTACATCAACCTGTCCCGCAATCTAATTAAGATGGCCGGTGTCACTGCAGTGTTGCAGGCATTGGCCATGCCCCAGTCTGCTGTGCGCGCGTTAATTATCGAAGTCAACCCTGTCTTTACAGATATCGACCGTCACAGTCCTGAATTCCAGGAGTTCTGCAGTCTCTTGCCAAAGTGCCGAAATCTGCGCTTCCTCTCGTTCGCCAACACCGGCATGACAGATGAGATTGGCTCAGATGTGCTGGAGTCACTGCGTCATCACACAAGCCTGAAGTGGATCAACCTAGCTGGTAATCGGATAGCAGATGGCACGGTTGCTACCTTCGTTGATGTGCTGAAGGACATCCCCACACTGAAGCGCATCACACTGGCAAACAATCAGATTACGGATCTTGGTGTAAGGCTGCTGCTGGCATCACCAGATGTATCCGACATGGAAGCTGTGTGGCTGAAGTTCAACGAGTGTAATGTTAGCTTGTTTGAGCGCCCGCTATATGACCTGTCATCACGCTACTCTGACGACTACGACGGTGCAGGTCATAACAACATTATCATGGATTATATCAGCTCTGACTGAATTGTGTCAGATACTCTGTCTTTTTGGGACTGGTACCATTTGCAGTTGCAAAGAATCCATAATATAGCTTTTCTGATAATTCACTTTTTTTATGATGCTCAGTGGGTGAAAACGGTTTCAGCTTCCGCTGGATGTTTTTGTGTCTATTTTTTAACTTCTACCTTTCAATAGTCAACCACTATACCCATTCTGAGCCTCACACTCAGGCATTAGCCCATCAGTGGAGTCGCCTCCATGCACATTATAATACTTCGGATGCAACTAAAACTCAGCAATGTTTTCCATTTCTGGAGCCTCACATAGCCTGTCATAGGATACTTGTGCTTGATTGCCCATGCAACGTAACAATTACGTATGTGCTTGACGACATGATTCAAGTACTGTAACGTTATTTCAAATATTTCTATCATTTGGCTACCACCTTGATCTTTATTATTATTTTGTTATGATTAACCCCCCCCCCCCCCCCCCCTCCCGAAAGAACACATGCGAATTGTGATTCTATTACTTGTACTTTAAACCCCAACTTGCCCAAGTCCTACTTGTCCAAGTCCTACTTGCCCAAGTCCTACATGCCCAAGTCCTACAGAGTCCAACCAGATGAAGAATTTACTCAGCAACTCTAAATTATCGCAATGGCAGAGGTCTCCGGCAATATGCAGCAGCATTCTGCTACACCATATTAGTGTATTGGCCGGACCATAATCCTTTGGCCACGTCAGTTCAAAAACAGACAATATGGTGACAAAAAATGTCCAACCAGGATGTGTCCATAATACACTGGAAAAAAGGGCAAAGGTGGGTGGAGGAATTCACTTCAGCTGCGTATGTACTACGTGTAAAAGCATAGGGTGCCGCGGAAAATCTGCGTGCGTGGGACTGGAGGGGTTTATGGAAATAGAGACAGTGTAAGTGAGAGAAGGAAGAGAGAATGTGCATTGCGCCTGGGACATTCCAAGGCCCGATGATGGGAAATCAGGCCTTGCAACATCAGGCCTTGCAACAACATGCTGACACAAGTACAACATGATGCTGGGACTGATATTGCCACCGTGTGCCCCACCGTGACTGCATGTTGTCGACAACTATAGAAAGTAACAAACATAATACACACACGCGTGCATGCACACACACATACACACACACACACACACACACACACAGGCATCATTGATGAGATTGTAGAGCATTCAAGCACTGCACAAATACAAACATGCAGAACCTTGACCCAAGAGAGAAAGATAGATAGATAGAGATAGATAGATAAATAGAGAGAGAGAGAGAGAGAGCGAGAGAGAGAGAGAGAGAGAGAGAGAGAGAGAGAGAGAGAGAGAGAGAGAGAGAGAGAGAGAGAGAGAGAGAGAGAGAGAGAGAGAGAGAGAGAGAGAGAGAGAGAGAGAGAGAGAGAGAGAGAGAGAGAGAGAGAGAGATAGATAGACAAGGACAGAGAGGGCACAGTATGTAAAGCCCGAGATACGGCCAGCGTTCCATGGATCTGGATTTCACCTCCCACAACCATGCTCCGTGACTATTGCTATCTTCCCGGCTCTATCAGAAAAGGACAATGTCCATACCTTAGTAACGCTTTTGATTCCTCTCAGGTGTGTGTACCTTAGTACAATGTCATGTACATGTACACCTGTGAAATTGACTTTCTTAGTACTCCAAAGCCCAAGATGATGGCAATTGTCCAAGGGAAACCAAATCTACGTCCAATTCAAGGTAAAAAATGGAGTGTAAAATTCTCTGTATGCATTGAGTTCAGTCGGAAAAGGGTCAAAAACTGAATAGTGTTCTTGTAACGTTTATTTTTTTAAGCAAGATGAACACTCACCAGCAACTCAGCAAGCAGGACAGCAAATTCCTTGCAGCGGATCAGCCGGGACAACGGAGTGTACCTCGGCAGGTGATTGCCCCTCCGTGCAACTGCACACAACTGGAGTGCACTGGACATGCCCATTCTGGCCGCAGAACACACAACATGTGAAGATCGCAAATGTTATAATGATGAAGATGATGATGAGGGCACAATCAGGGTTAACTGGGGCTTTTCTTCAGGATTATTAGTACATAATGATAGCTTGCATAGACCTCGGTCCTACCGGTAGGACCTACTGGTGGGACCATCATACACAGGCATGCTGCATGACCTAAAACTTGACCCTAAACTGTTGCTAAGGGGCTAATGAAGGAGTCCACAAATTTTAGACGTGATCGCACGAGGCATACTACAAAATTCCATGGTAACAACCCATGGTAACCATGGAAACGGAGTATGGAATAATGCATTCCACAGCCTTGGCAAGCTGATAAAAACATTAGGACCTCACCACAATTGATGTGCCATGGTCAAAATTCACTTTGGACAGAGTTGCTAGCGCACCGACAGGATTACGTGCGGCCATTTTGGCAATCGATAAAATTGCGCATACGCAATGCACTGGACATAGCCTTGCATTTTGCGCCATTACTTTGCCTGACAAAGACCTCATCTCAACAATTATTTCAAAAAAATTCTCAACCAAAAGCACTTTTGCAGCTCGATTTCTTGGGTCCTACCGGTAGGACGGTATGCAAGCTATCAATAAAGTGCCGGCTGTTGCAACACGGTCGGAAAAATCCTTCCGCTTCCAATCAGGAATTGAACCTAGTACCCTCTTTTTCTTAGGGATTGCCTCACACCATTCCACTACTGTAAAACCGGGAATGTTCAGCCGGTGGTGTAATATTTTCGGTGTTTTCCAAAATCAACAGTTCGGTAGCGTGAAAATTTCGGTCAACCAGTTTTCCAGATCCAAAAATCCATCTTGCACACTGTGTGGCATGGCTTTTCGAATTTTAGGTCACGTTTTATTTTAGGTAGGTAAAGATTACCTGTACCGAAGACCGAAGTTCCCAAAAACAAATCTCCACCGAAAATTTCCGGTTTTACAGTATGCCTGCCTGCCCAATCTGTGTACATGGTGGATTGATAAATCTAATGTAAAAACAGCTCAAATTGAATTCCGAACTAATGGGGTACTAGCGGTGCTAGTACTCGTCAGCAACAATCCGAACTAGCGCACACACTGCGCTGCATTGCTTGGTACTGCCTTCAAGACTGACGTCATGCGCTTCGCTTTACTGCGTAATCGCAAATGGCACCCAGCCCGTTTTGCTGAAAAGAAAAACAAATCTTGCTTGCCCTGTTGCGTTCCTCCAGACAGCAGATCGTGCTTCCGCAGTGTTTCTTTTCCCACCATCCCTCCCTATCCAACTTATTCACACAATCATTATAATTATCGTATCCACTGATCGGGTCCACTCTCACAACTGGTGTTATTTAGCTATTTGCTGCGGCTCTGCATTTAGCTATATTACATCCATTTAGTATTGCAGCTCTACTTTGAGCTAACAGCAGCTCTACTTTGGGCTAACAGCAGCTCTACTTTGAGCTTCACACCAGTTGTTTCGAAACCAGCACCCCTCAATCCAAAAATGCCTCTTTGTTGACTTGCTTGTGTGAGGGACGGGGGCTAAAGGAAATTTGCTTAGCCGTTCGACAGATTTCAGCATTCTTGGACGATGTTATTGACCTCACAAACTTGTTTTTCTTCAGAGTTAGACGGAATTAATCATTCACTGACTACATTTACTGGTTCTGGGACGTACAAATTATCGTACTTCCCCACATATAAGCGCATGTGCATACAAGCAAACATTTGCTGCAAAAATTGTTTTTGCAGTGTAAACATGTCCGGATAGAAGCACATGCGCTTGTATGTGCAATAAAGCCAAAAGGCTTGTCTTTGTCTTAAACAATGGTGTTATCACAATGCTTAGTGGTATATTCAGCTCCAGAGTGCTTCACAAATAGTGTTCACTTATAAGCACATGCGCTTACACTGATGTAAGGAAGTACAGTAGCTTGATCATTGTGCTTAGTGAATACACGGTAGCCTTTCCTATGTTTTTCTTCAACATAAACAAACATCGCGAGGTTGGCCAAACATCATAGGATGGCGCAAATAGTAGCGACGATGGCCTCCAAGCGTTGTGCTACTCATTACTGGTTGAAGTTTGCAAGACGTGTGTGTGTGTGTGGTTAGCAAACTTGAACAACAATGAGATGTTTTGTTGGAGCACTGCATGCAAATTGTGGTCTGGTTGCCACCAACAATGTAACACTACCGTACTGAACTACAGCACTAGTACTGAACTACAGTACTAGTACTGTACTGGCCAAAGAAATCCAACCTCATGAATATATAGCATTGCCGGGCGCTTCGCAGCCCTGGCACTACACATACTGGTCTGTGCACTACACTGCCCTAGCACTACACTGCCCTGGCACTACACTGCCCTGGCACTACACATACTGGTCTGTGCACTACACTGCCCTGGCACTACACTGCCCGGGCACTACACTGCCCTGGCACTACACTGCCCTGGCCGTCAGGCGAAATTACTGGTCAGTCGGCGACACGCATTTTTCACAAAAAATTGCGTTTCACCTGCTGGGAGAGTATGCGTGTACTCGAGTCTCATCCTGAGCACGTTTTTTTCTTCTTTTTTTCAGCTCCAGTATAGCTGTATTTTTCATTCAGCGGCAAAGCCGTCCTCGATTGTTGTGTTCGTTGTTCAAACGAAGTGGACATTCAATAATGAAGGCAGAGGACATAGGAGCCTGATTGGAGTTTCTCGTGGCATGGGACGGCCACACAGAGACACTTTGGGATTTTCTGAATATAAAATACCGTACGCACGATGCTGAGATCAATTTGTGCGATATCAAATTGTTTGTGATCTACCACATCGAGCAGAACGGGATCCAAACACAAGCTTACCGACGGTTAGGCTGCCGACCTGACTGGACAAATGATCCCTGGCTTCACCAGACGCCAGAAGTCGGATACCATGTCCTTTGCCGCGACGTCCATCTCCAAAAAGAACTCCATCTTTGTCGTGAAAAGGCTTGAAATACTCAATATTCAACCGAGATTCGCGGTCTCACCCTTTCTCAGATCGAATCATTTTTTGTTGTAGCAGTTGCAGGGCAGATCCCCGCCACTACTTCAACAGGCGATGGCTCCAAAGCATGCCTGGAACAAGCCATATCGAGGTTGCAAGCCAACCCTCTCAGCAAAAAATTCGAAGAAATTCGAAATTTCAATGGTGAAAGATATACTATAAAGAGAATTTCAAAAAGTATGTTTCGCGGAGCGATCGCTCAACCTACGTCATTCAAACTTTGCAGGATGGTTCAGACGTACATGCTAGGCATGGAACCACAGGCGATGATGCCATAGCTGACACACAGAGTAACACACACAGCAGATTTGTGTGCACAGATACTAAATTAGTGGACGTCGTCATCTTCTTCCCGCTGATCTCAAATGTACTATGACGTGCTATTTCGCCTGACGACTACACATACTGGTCGGTGCACTCGAACGCGACGCTGCTTTATTCATGAGGTTGGATTTCTCTGACTAGCCCTGTAGGTGAGGTAACACATGTGAATAACATGGAACCTAGATCACCTTACCTGGCACTGGCAGTTTTGACAGTTGTCCGTGAAGTTGCCGGGAGCAACAAACTTGTTGCCAAAGGCGCACCTTGATGCCAGTTGCTTCACGGTCTTGTCGTAGTGTTGGGTAATGTTTGCTACCTGCGATGTCAGCTGCTGTACTTGTGCAGCATACTTACTCCTCTCGTGGACGAGGTTAGTGACGAGGCTGGTCATCTGAAATCCACAATTCACACGCCACCAAGAAGGAAATGGCGAGGTCACGGAATGGGTTAGAGTGTGTGAATGAAGAAACTCATATTAGTGGATAGAAGCTTTGGTGAGGAAGGACAGTTGAGTACGAAACCAAAGAAAAGTGTCGGGGGTGATGCCGTGAAACTACAGGACGCTACATGTATGTATGTCAGATGGTAATGCTTAAAAAATACCTATGCCTATGGTGTTCCTATGGTGTTCCTATGGTGTTGCACATTGTGTGAGTCAAATGACTGCACTGTAAAAAGTAGGAAGGTCCAGATGACAAGCTGAGATTTCGCCATTCTCACTTTAGCACGGTACGAGTGTGCATTATTAGTGCCATGCATCCTTTCATGTGCCTATATGCTTGATATCACCCAGGCATGAGAAGGGGGGGGGGGGGGGAGGGGAGGTCCAGCGGGGAACTTACATTCATTACCAGTGCTGACAAGTCACTGATGCTTTTCTCTGCAACGAAGAGTAGGAAACACACCTTCACTTATTCATCATGACATTTTTTAAACGCTACAATCAAGTCACAGCCTGTGATCTGCCAGATGAACTGTCTGTCGGGAGAAATCAGTGCTGTGCTTTCTGCAAACCTAGTGTTGAATAGTCATTGCACATCGAGCCTGCATGTAACTATGCCAACACCCAGTAAGTAATAAGTACATTGTTGTGTCCGGCCCTGAGGGGAACTCACAACGGCCGCTAACACTGGCAAACCCTAGCGGAAGATGCAGCGCCTAACGGTGGGGGTGAGGGGATAAGTATCACAACCACTGGCACAAGCGCCGAGAAACCTCATTAGCCTCATCCATGTACTCCTTGTGCCTGGCCACAAATTCCCAGTTGACTGTGGGTAGCAGCACGGCTGGAAAAACCGCTCCCAGGCAGGACTTGAGCCAGGTACCTCTCGTATCTTAATCATGGTCTTTGACCAACCCACTGTGCCTACCTGGTACTGCCTGGTAAAGCCCAGTACATGTACTTGGATGCAAAAATACCCACTACACTCCATTACACTCCATTCCTAGATTTCCAACCTTACTCAAGTGCCTGCAGGCCACATACATATGCCAGTTCTTTAGATGCGGTCTTTAAAGATAGGCCGCTTCCCAGGCGGGCGAGCTCACCGGTGCAGACATAATTATGTGCCTCTTTTTATTTATTTTTAATATCAGTTTCTGTGCATGCCCGGGCGGACACTTTCTAAAAACAACCACAGAGTTCCGGGATGTGTCAGGAAAGGGTTGGATCTACACTGCAGTCAGCTTAAAACAGTGATACTTACTCTCTACAGAACACAGAGTGGGGAAACGGCACTTCACTGGGTACGCATGCGGAAAGGATTGCACGTTTGCATACACCTTCTGCCAAAGCAAAAACAGAAGAAGGAAAACGCACACGGTTGTACTGTTTTTTTCTGCTTTTTGTGTTCTTTGTTTTTTAGCCGTCTGGACTTTTCAATGAAACACAGAAATGTTCAATGAAACACAGAAATAAGATAAAATCTGGTACATGTACTAGTACGCGTGAGCCAGAAGCCAGACTGGATAATTATAAATAAGCCTGAAGGGTACTTTGCCAGGGCGCTCAAAAGTATATCCAGCGCCTACGGTAGAGTAGATGGATGTTCACCAGAGAGCACTGCTATGCCGATGGTACACACGTGAGGCTTAAAAGAAGGGTGAAAAACAGAATAGATGCCAGTACACATTACTTACCTTCTCGGGCGTTTTCTGCAAGGGAACAGAAAAGACGCAAAATGAGAAAATGAAAATACGGCCAGGAATGTGATCGTTGGTCAAGAGTAGCGGCACTATTCCATGTGTACAGTGTAGAGCTTTGCGGCTCTAATCATCATGCAGCAATATGAAGCTCGTAAAACCATTTTGTCACTGATGTCATTCGACTTTCTCGAAGTAATGTTGACTATTGTGGACGGCATGTACAGTATGCATAGCCCAGCAGAGAACTGAGGATAAGCTGTAAGCTGATCCGTGGCTGATCCTGGCGCTCCACTTCCGGGTTAGAGAATGGGATTGAGCAAGACAGTAAAGTGAAGTAAGTAAATTATCGTGTCCGTTCCCAAAGGGAACTCACGACGGCCGCTAACACCCGGTAAACCCTAGCGGAAGATGCAGTGCCCAACGGTGGAGGTGAGGAGATACGTCTCACAACCACTGGCACAAGTGCCGAGAAACCCCATTAACGATTAGCCCATTAGTCTTGAGCAAGACAGGACACCATGTGTATTTGGTGAGTACATGTAGCTGTTCTAACTCACCATAACGACGGCCCGTACGGCGGGCGTGTCGGGAACGCAGACCCTGGCTTCATCCATGTCATGTCCAGTGATGCAATCACCAGGAGAGGCAAGCTGCCCCTTGACGAGGCGCAGGCAGTTGTAGTACAACGTCACCACACCGGCGTAGGGGCATACACCGATGGCGACGTTCTGAAAGCGGTTGCTCCGCAGGCCATGCGGTATGGCGACAATACTTTGAACAGGTCTACCATTATGCAGGTATCTAAGTTCAATCTGAAAAAGGAGGAAAGCACGTCATCACAATGCTTGTTGACTTCCACTGCGGATCTGTGCTGGGCTACTTTTTACTTGATTTATCTGACCACTGAACATTTTCAAGCTCAACCGTTGCATTACACCTTCAAAAGCAGGCAGCGAGGCCCGCAAACAAGTTGAATTTATTCACATGAAGCACAATACCGCACACTGACTTGGTGTGTCAAGTAGGTGCAACCAACGCTGCAAAGTTCTGTTCTCAGTCGAGGCAGGGGTGGATCGGGGGGTGGAGGTTCTGAGGAACCCCCTAAATTTCGCAAATATTCTTCTGGAAACCATACATGTACGCATGAATCAGCTGTTCTGTTTCGGACAAACTGGAACCTCCCTGTAGAGATCTCTGGAGGCGACGATTTCAAATAGGACATAGGTTGCAAACCGGAATGGTCCCAATATTCACTTCCTCTCTTGGTATTTTGATTAGAAAACGTATGTCACAGTGAGACTACGATGTGTTTTACTCAGCGCCAAAATTCCATGGCTCTGCGATGACCAGAAGCGCCATACCAAGCATTTGAGTTTTTGTCGTGTTGCTTCCCACTGCGACTTGAGTTTTACGACTTTCGAAAAATCAACTTTGTGTCGCAGGTAAACAGCGGCTTGCCTCTCGCCAATAAAGCACCGCATACCAATCAAAACTAATGGAAGCACACACAAGGCTTATTGTTACTCTGTACTGGCCGTCGTGGAGCGATAGCAATTACCTAATTTCAGACCCAGAGTGAACTTGACGTGCACTCTAAAACGTGTCCGGTTTGGAGCCACCTCTGATTTGAAGCGAAAAATTGGGCAACTTGGAGGCAATGGGTCAACACAAAGGAGTGGCTCAGTTCGATTGACTCTGGCCTCAGAGCAAACTTCAACAGGCCAGTTTCCTTCCACAAACATATTTCGAGTGAACAATCAACGCTGATGATCGGTTAGGGTCTATACAAATTTGGCTGTCAAGCCATTCCGGTATCGAACCGTCGCCTCTACAATGAATCATTGGCACCAGCCAGCCTTCTCCGTTTCTCTCAGTTTTCCTTTCCTTTCAGTTGCATCTTCCTCTCCGCTCTGTTTTATTTTCTCTTTTCGTTCGTCCCTCTTGATATTTGTACTTTGTACTGTTGAGGCAACGAACTGAAATAATAAAAAACAAACAAAACAAACAACAAGCAGGCACTAACCTCACTCTGCCGAATCTCAACCGACAATCCTCCCAGGGTTACCGCCACTTGCGTCTTGTTTGTGGCATATCCCGGAATGAGGCGGACATCAAGGGATACAGTGAAGCATGTCGAGTTGTCACATGTCTTGAACAAATTTGCAGGAGCCCGCAGAATTCCCTGCAGGGTGGATTCAATAGCCACGGGGCAAACACAGGAAATTTGCAGGTTAGCAAAACATCCAAATACATTCCTGTGCGCACAGCTGCTGCACCTGCATGAGCCTGCATGGTGCATGTCTGGCTACGTGGATGCTGTACAGATGGATGGTGTTTGAGGCTGGCCATGCACCGTTGCTCCGGCTGTTACAGGATGTGTACAGTTCTGTATACAACTGCTTCAAATGTCATACAGAACACAGCGAATGAGACGGAAGAGGGCAGTCTCTTGGCCGGCTGGTCACATGCATGGTAATATGGTGTGTCCTAAACACCTAGGAACCTCATCCGCGGCCCGATTGTGCTTCTAACTGTAAAAGCAGAAATTTTCCGTGATGTCTTATTTTCGGTAACTTTGGTGCCGACAATTTTTACCAAAAATAAAACACACCGAAAATGTCGGTACAGGTCGTCCCTCGTTAATACATATTCTCTGGGACTTGACAAATGTTATGTATTAACGGGGTTTATGTACTAAACGAAAGTGTACATAACTTGCTTGTATACCAGAATTTTTCACTTTTTTCAACTTTTCTGAGTGTTTCTTGCTACCATGATTAGGCAGCGAGATATTCTTGATTCCCTCGATAAACATAAAAATTATGTTATAACGGTCACATTTAGCGAAGATTCTACAGTTGACATGGTACATGCCCAGCCGCACCTGTACAGTCACTCGAAAAAAAAAAGAGCTTTGTCGGTTTGTGATGTGCGCTCTGATTTCTATGCTAGTTGCGTCCACAAGTAGAAACTAGAACACGATGTGCCTCCACTGGAAGGCCAAAAGACCAGTAAATTATGTACTATTGAGGTAGGTGACATGCGGGTACGGAGAAATGTTATGTACTAACGGGGTTTATGTACTAACGGATTATGTACTAACGGACAACATTTGTATGGAAGTGACCACGTTTCGTCCGGGACTTGAGATTTCTTATGTACTAACGGGGTTTATGTACTAACCGGACTCGTATTAACGGGGGACGACCTGTACTTGTACTAGTACACTTACCTGGAAAATGGGTTTACCTAAAAAAATTCCCTCCACCGAACCGCCGGTTTTGGAGAATACCAAAAATATTACACCACCGAAATTTCTGCTTTTACAGTATTAACTGTAGAAATTACGCAACTCAACAGAAGAAACACCTACCGTTTCATTTGTGCAGTGCACTGCTGTTTGCCCATTAGCACCTCCTAGATCTGCATGACCTGACCCAGTGCTCCTTGTAGTAGAAGATGAAGCCACATCCGACACTGTGTGCACTGGGCTAGAGGTCGGGGCTGCTGTGGACGCCGTGCCCGGGGCAACAGCACTGACATTGTTCGGAGCACTAGGGTCACCTGTGCGAAAAGAAAGACGTAAACATTTGCAGAACCTTATTACAGGTGCCGATGGTGAAATCTGGGCATGCAGCCTCCTATCAGTGGCGAGCAAAATACATGAACTCTAGTACTCTCTAGTCTGCTTGGCCTCAAGCGAACTGAGGTCCCGAGCATCGGTGGCCTCAAGCAAAGGTCCCGAGCATCGGTGGCCTCGAGCAAAGGTCCCCGGTTTGAGTCCTGGTGGTGACAGCCATTTTTTCTTCAGACTTTTCCCTTTTCCATTCCCTCAACTAGTGAATTATTCATTTAGGCCTTCATTGGATTATTCATTTAGGCCTTCATTGGATTATTCATTTAGGCCTTCATTGCATTATTCATTTAGGCCTTCATTGGATTATTCATTTAGGCCTTCATTGGATTATTCATTTAGGCCTTCATTGGATTATTCATTTAGGCCTTCATTGGATTATTGTGGCACATGTAGAAATATCCAGTATGGTTCCCACTCATAAAGTTTAATAAGGATGCCAGCTTTCCTTGATCGTGCTACAGTCCATCCCACGGTCAAATCTGACTATACGTTGTCAGTCTTCCTTCCATGCCCACGGCATCCCCGGTCTAGCTGTTTGGGGCATGCGACAGCAGTACTTATCAAACTAGAGTAGACTTGGACCAGCTATGGCTGTCCCATCCATAGTCACTTCGATTTTCTTCCAAGGTTAGCAACTCAAGCACCTATTGGTATTAGGAGTAGCAAAAATGCCATTGAGTTTTGAGCAGTGGAAAATTGCAGCATGCAATCATGTGAACATTACAGTATGGTGCACCACTGCACAGCACAGAGTACGGCGGTGTGCCAAATAAGTATTCCAAATCTCCAAGAGAATGCAATCAGAATAAGCTATCTTTGCAGTACAAGGACACAGCTGTGTAATGTCAGCTATTGGTTCTTACTAGGCTTGGGGGCGGCTGAGTCCAAGAATCGACATTGTACTGGCTCGTCACCTGGGAATGACCGTAGATGATCATACACCCTCTAAGATAACAGAAACCAACAGTTCTCATGAGAAGGGAAAGGAGCCATCAGGAATAAATGTCACATCGAAATTGTAAAACAGATGAGTTCAGATAGTGCCAATGGCATTGCGGCCGGGCACTGCATTTAGAACGATGTTTACGATGTGCAGTGCAGACCCCAATTCACTCTCTGGGAGCAGGTCCAGTAGGTTACGCTGTCTACAGGACCTCATTACAAAAAGCCATGGACTCAGGGGCAGCGTTGTAGGACGCCTATTTGCACCATGGCAAGATTGACTTATAGTCCCATACACAACAGGCACAATGTACACTTAGCAACTCATGGTAGGCTGCAATTTTCCAATTGAAAGGTCATTGGCATATACACCTTTACGCTTTGATTCAGGAAACGGCTATTACAATTTACAACATCGTAACCAAAGCATACATACCTTATCAAAGATGTGCTGCAAAAAGAGCATAGGACAGACGCAAACATACCAAGTTTGACGTTAGCTGGATCATTCCCACATTACCATGCCGCGAAGACCCAGCTCAGTACATGGTGGCCATAATGCAACAATAGATAGCCAAACCAGACAACAAGACTAGCAACAAATCAAAAACAGTTGACATACCGGTATTAAGCTACTAGTAATAAACACAAGAATAGGCAATCGGTAGCCTACATCTACTCCCTCAAAATTAGAATACCGGTCTGTTGACAGCTCTAGGGATTTCAACAAAGCTCTTCCAGTTCTTATTGCAAAGCTCACCGTGATGTTGGCTCTGGTTACCACAGAGTTCGGAATGCAGACCCGCGCTTCGTCGGCATCATATCCTGTGATGCAATGAGTTGAGTTGTTGATCTTGGCATCATATGCCAGATTACAATCATAGTACACTAGTATATGGCCAGCCAGGGGGCACCAACCCACGGCAATATTCTCCCACCGGTTCTCCACAAAGTCATCAGAAGGAAAAGAAATAGTTTCATTGGATCCATTCGCAGTGTACGTTATAATAATCTACAAGGAAAGAACCCATCACATACACAACATCATCATGTCACCTAACTCTCCATGATAACTGGGCAGATTTGTGAAGCTCAGTGTCCTATATCCCCTTACTGTTAGCGGATTAGGAGCAAATCTACAGCTAGGCAAGCAGGCACAGTGGGATGGTCTAAAACTATGATTGAGAAACAGAGAATACCAGGTTCAAGTCCTGGTTTTTCCAGCCGTGCTGCGACCCACAGTTAATTGGGAACGCGTGGCTTGGCACGCGGGAAGCATGGATGCAGTAAATGGGGTTATAGGTCTTCGAGCACTTGGTGGTGGGTAGGATGTCCTCACCTCCCACCGCTTTAAGGGGTGCATCCGCGACTTGAACCTTGGGTGGTGGCGTTTCTATGGATGCGGAAAACTTGGCCTCTAGCCGAGTCTCACGCGAACCGTTAAATTAATTTATTTTTTACATGTGGTCATAGAAGAAATAACGCAAACCTCGTAAGAAAAATGTGCCAGCTGTTCATTGAGAGATGTTCCATAGCCACTACGTAGTTTGTCCAAGGTCTGTCTTCTACTTCAAGTACATGTAATAATGTCATCAGCATACTCACTGCTCTGCGTTGAATTTGCACCGACCAGCCTCGCAGTGCCACTTCCACCTGTGTCTTATCACCCAGTTCGTCACCTGGTATGAAGTGTACGTTCAAACCTACCGTGAAGCATGTCGTGATGTCACATGAATTGTATAGGTTTACTGGTGCCTGGAGAATGGACTGAAGGAGAGGGGTCAGAAGAATACAGGAAACAGTGGAACAGTATGTCATGACGTTAGTTCACTTCAGCAAAGCATTTGGATAAGGCTTGTTGCATTTTCTCTCCCACCCCCCCCCCCCCCCCACTTAAAAACTCAATCATGTTTTGCCTCTAAAATAGGAATCTCAAAGAGCAGCACATGTGAATGTTATGGAAAGGCAAATATTGTGGTGCTTGCAGCAGTTATCAACTTTAATAGAGCAAATATCCTCGGAAATAACAAAATAACAATAGTATCGTCCAAAAGGACACTGTAGTGGTCAACACACCTTGAAGTGTGCACATTGCTGCCTTGTTGCATTGCTCAGGTCAGGTACACTTGGTTTTACTGGGATAGGATCAGCAGAGACAATAATAGGAGAATTGCCTTGGGAGCTTGTGTTGCCTGTAACCGCATGGTCAAACACATCACAATATTGGCACTCAATCTTAATCGTGGTGATGCATCCAATCAGTATTCCAAATCTCCAAGAAAATGCAATCAGAATAAGCTATATTAAAGGGGAAGTGCATCAATTTTTCGAGTAGGGTCCAGAAGAAAGACACTTTGATATCGGTTCGAATGGCATATCTCTCGCTTCCATACGATAAGCCAAACTTGCCAAATCGCCAATTGTATGCTCACGTTGCCATAGCGACCAGCGCAGTGATGACGTATGAAAGGCTTAGCTCCTCCACAGAGAAGGTCGATCACTGCATAAATTGGTCATTTATAATGGTCTTATTGTATTCACGATGTGAAAGAAGTGCTGTGTTCGATGCTGTTAGTGCCGTGAACTATTTATCGCCCTTCTCATGCATTTCCCTAGGCTGACTGTGCCTAGGAAATGGTTTCCTATAGGACAAGATGCTTGGAATTCGCCATCTCTCATGAGACATTTTCAGCAAACTTTCAAACCTACGACATTATTTCATTCGTCAATCTCCACCACCCGTCGTCTCACCTGGCTTCAGAAGATGTTACGAGTGATAGGAGAGTCGCCAGGAAGCATCACATTCATCTTCAGGAAGTGGAAAGAGCAAACGGCAGGGTCCTTGGTTGGGGGAAATGCTGAACGTCTGATTTGTCCCAACCAAGATTTCAGCATTTTGTTCGTCACTATTTTCGCTTGTCTGCTGGTGTCTCCGCACTCCAGCTTTCTCCTGTCGGTGTCACGTCCCAGTACACAACCGAGAGGACTACTAACAAACAGTTCACTGCACTAACAGCATTGAACACAGCCCTTCTTTCACTTCGTGAATACAATAAACCAATTGAAAATGACCAAATTCTGCAGTGATCGACCTTCTCTGTGGTGGAGCTAAGCCTTTCGTACGTAATCACTGCGCTGGTCGCTATGGCAACGTGAGTATACAATTGGCGATTTGGCAAGTTTGGTTAATAGTATGGGAGCGAGAGATATGCCATTCGAACTGATATCAAATTGTCTTTCTTCTGGACCATACTCGAAAAAATCGATGCACTTCCCCTTTAACAGTACAAGGACACAGCTGTGTAATGTCAGCTATTGGTTCTTACTAGGCTTGGGGGCGGCTGAGTCCAAGAATCGACATTGTACTGGCTCATCACCTGGGAACGACCGTAGATGATCATACACCCTCTAAGATAACAGAAACCAACAGTTCTCATGAGAAGTGAAAAGAGCCATCAGGAATAAATGTCGCATCGAAATTGTAAAACAGATGAGTTCAGATAGTGCCAATGGCATTGTAGTCGGACACTGCATTTCGAACGATGTGTACGATGTGCAGTGCAGACCTCGTTTCACTCTCTGCGAGCAGGTCCAGTAGGTTAAGCCGTCTACAGGACCTCATTATAAAAAGCCATGGACTCGGTTATAGCACGCCTGTTTGCACCATGGCAGGATTGACTTAGTCCCATACACATCGGGCACAATGTACACTTAGTAATTCATGGTAGACTGCAATTTTTTCCAATTGAAAGGTTGCTGGCATATACAACTTTAGGCTCCAATTCAGGAAACGGTTTTTACAATTTACAACATCGTAACCAAAGCATACATACCTTATCAAAGATGTGCTGCAAAAAAGAGCATAGGACAGACACAAACATACCAAGTTTGACGTTAGCTGGATCTCATGGATCATTCCCACATTACAATGCCGCGAAGACCCAGCTCAGTATATGCTGGCCATAATGCAACAATAGATAGCCAAACCAGACAACAAGACTAGCAACAAATCAAAAACAGTTGACATACCCGGGTATGAAGCTACTAGTAATGAACATAAGAATAGGCAATCAGTAGCCTACATCTACTCCCTCAAAATTAGAATACTGGTCTGTTGACAGCTCCAGGGATTTCAACAAAGCTCTTCCAGTTCTTATTGCAAAGCTCACCGTGATGTTGGCTCTCGGTTCCACAGAGTTCGGAATGCAGACCCGCGCTTCGTCGGCATCATAGCCTGTGATGCAATGAGTTGAGTTGTTGATCTTGGCATCATATGCCAGATTACAATCATAGTACACTAGTATATGGCCAGCCAGGGGGCACCAACCCACGGCAATATTCTCCCACCGGTTCTCCACAAAGTCATCAGAAGGAAAAGAAATAGTTTCATTGGATCCATTCGCAGTGTACGTTATAATAATCTACAAGGAAAGAACCCATCACATACACAACATCATCATGTCACCTAACTCTCCATGATAACTGGGCAGATTTGTGCAGCTCAGTGTCCTATATCCCCTTACTGTTAGCGGATTAGGAACCGATATACAGCTAGGCAAGCAGGCACAGTGGGATGGTCTAAAACCATGATTGAGAAACAGAGAATACCAGGTTCAAGTCCTGCTTGGAAGCGGAAGGATTTTTCCAGGCGTGCTGCGACCCACAGTTAATTGGGAACTCGTGGCTTGGCACGAGGGAGGCATGGATGCAGTAAATGGGATTATAGGTCTTCGAGCACTTGGTGGTGGGTCGGATGTCCTCACCTCCCACCGCTTTAAGGGGTGCATCCGCGACTTGATCCTTGGGTGGTGGCGTTTCTACGGATGCGGAAAACTTGGCCTCTAGCCGAGTCTCACGCGAACCGTGGAATTAATTTTGTTTTACATGTAGTCATAGAAGAAATACCGCAAACCTCGTAAGAGAAATGTGCCAGCTGTTCATTGAGAGAAGTTCCATAGCCACTATGCAGTTTGTCCAAGGCCCGGCAAGCAATCTTCTACTTCAAGTACATGTAATAATGTCATCAGCATACTCACTGCTCTACGTTGAATTTGCACCGACCAGCCTCGCAGTGCCACTTCCACCTGTGTCTTATCGCCCAGTTCATCACCTGGTATGAAGTGTACGTTCAAACCTACCGTGAAGCATGTTGTGATGTCACATGAATTGTATAGGTTTACTGGTGCCTGGAGAATGGACTGAAGGAGAGGGGTCAGAAGAATACAGGAAACAGTGGAACAGTATGTCATGACGTTAGTTCACTTCAGCAAAGCATTTACACAAGGCTTGTTGCATTTTCTCCCCCCCCCCCCCCCACTCCCACTTAAAAACTCAATCACTCTTCGCCTCTAAAATAGGAATTTCAAAGAGCTGCACATGTGAATGTTATGGAAAGGCAAATATTATGGTGCTTGCAGCAGTTATCAACTTTAATAGAGCAAATATCCTCGGAAATAACAAAATAACAATAGTATCGTCCAAAAGGACACTGTAGTGGTCAACACACCTTGAAGTGTGCACATTGCTGCCTTGTTGCATTGCTCAGGTCAGGTACACTTGGTTTTACTGGGATAGGATCAGCAGAAACGATAATAGGAGAATTGCCTTGGGAGCTGTTGTTGCCTGTAACAGCATGATCAACACACATCACAGTATAGGCACTCAATCTTAATCGCGCTGATGCACCCAATCAGTATTCCAAATCTCCAACAGAATGCAATCAGAATAAGCTATATTTGCAGTACAAGTACACAGCTGTGTAATGTCAGCTATTGGTTCTTACTAGGCTTGGGGGCGGCTGAGTCCAAGAATCGACATTGTACTGGCTCGTCACCTGGGAACGACCGTAGATGATCATACACCCTCTAAGATAACAGAAACCAACAGTTCTCATGAGAAGGGAAAAGAGCCTTCATGAATAAATGTCGCATCGAAATTGTAAAACAGATGAGTTCAGTTAACGCACTCTCCACATACAGGCATGCACCCGGCTCAGAACACATTGTTTTCTGGTTGGCATATCAGGGATATTGGGCGGAGCAGCTGGCGTGCATGAGAAAGACAGGTCGGCCTGCTCTGCGCAGGAGCTGTGACCCGGTGCACACATAGTGTGTGTGAGAGAGAGACAGACAGGTCGGCCTGCTCTGCGCAGGAGCTGTGACCTGGAGCACACAGAGTGTGAACGAGAGACGGTCGGCCTGCCGTGGGCAGGAGCTGCGACCGGTAGTGATTGAAATGAGCCAGCTGCGGAGATAGACTGCCCTCACCCGATATAAGTATATTGACAAGAGTTGTACTGACACTGTTATTGAGGAAATTATGGTGACAGTGACGGAGAGATAGTGATCCCCAGTCGAATGGGGTTGGGAGGGAAGGGGAAATTGACACTGACGGACAAACCAGTGAACAGTCAAGTCGTCAGAAAGCAAAAGTGACAAAGGAGTCTCTCTTTTCTCCTTGTCTCTCTCTAAAGCAAGATTTGGAATGCATGCGTGGGAGAGTGGCGCGCGCTGCGCATGCGCATGTATAGCAATGACATCATAATCAGATGCATGATCATCAGACAAGTATGAGTGGTAGATGTTCCACGTTCGTTAACAGGGCTTAGCGCACACGCTAAACCACCATTAACGCACTCTCCACATACAGGCATGCACCCGGCTCAGAACACATTGTTTTCTGGTTGGCATATCAGGGATATTGGGCGGAGCAGCTGGCGTGCATGAGAAAGACAGGTCGGCCTGCTCTGCGCAGGAGCTGTGACCCGGTGCACACATAGTGTGTGTGAGAGAGAGACAGACAGGTCGGCCTGCTCTGCGCAGGAGCTGTGACCTGGAGCACACAGAGTGTGAACGAGAGACGGTCGGCCTGCCGTGGGCAGGAGCTGCGACCGGTAGTGATTGAAATGAGCCAGCTGCGGAGATAGACTGCCCGTTCCCAATATCCCCAATATGGCATGAGAGTAATAATGAAATACGACTGGTGTATTGTGCTGTACTGACAGCAGCAATGTAAAGCTAAAGCTAAGCAGTTCAGGCATGATGTGGTCACTAACCCGCAGCTACCATTGATGATTTTGAACTGCAGCTAATTGACGTGACACTCGCAGGGTGTCAGCTGTAGCAGCCCGGATGTAGCGGTGGACCGCATCACTGCGCCATCTACCCATGATACGGATGATGTGTTCGGGGACACCTGCCATGGCCGCTGATGTTGCGGCGCCAATCCGGAAAGAGTGACTGGCATATGCACTCGGGTCCGTGACCCCACAGAGTGGCAGCAGGTTGCGCAGTTCAGAGGACACTGCATTTCTTGTAAGCGGCTGGCCATTAGCATAAGTGAACAGATGGTCGCCGCCGGGGCGAAACGCCAGGTAATTTGCCATGGCCTGCACTGGGCAGATCAGTGCGTCCGTGCTGGCTCCAACCAATACTGTGTGGCCCGTGCTGTCGGGGTCCGTCTTAGATGAGCGCACGTTTACCGATAACGACCGCTGGTCAGTACTGATCGTCACATCACATCGCCTCAGGCCAGCAGTCAGTTCTCCACAACGGAAGAACCCATGAAACGCCAAGGAAAAAGCTGCCCTTAGCATGGCCTTGTCGTGAGGGTGCCGCATGCGTGGAACGGCAACATGCCGGCAGATCTCCCTGAGAAGTGGAGTGGTTATCGGCAGACGATGACGCTGTGTCGATGACGACCTGTCGATGCCCCGCAGGACCCTAGCGAGGAGAGTTGTTGGGCCCGACGGGTAAGCAAAGCCAAGTTCCACATGAAGGTTGCGGATTGCCGACATGTAGACACGGACAGATCGAGGCTGAAGAGTCCTGAACAACTCGGCAGCAAAATAGCACAAAGTAAAGTCGTCGCCCGGCAATGGGTTGCAGGCATGCACTTGGCAGAACTGGAAGTAGCGGGTCTCGGCGGTAGAATACGTCCGGCGGGAGGATGGTGCTATTGCCAGTGCTGCTAGCTGTAGCACGGAGTCTGTCAACGGAGAGTTGGCAAGACTGGCTGATCTGGCTCGGCTGCTGCTTCCGGGGCCTGGTGCCTGAATACCTGCAGCAAATTGCGAGACAATGCATCGGCGACAGTGTTAGTGACACCAGGAATGTGGACAGCTGACACCAAGAAGTCATGTTCAATACACAGCAGATACAATGCCCGGATAAGTGTCATGACTGGCGGTGAACGGCAGGTACCGGAGCGTATACAGTCCACCACGGCCTTGTTGTCACACTGAAACTGAATGCGTCGCCTGCTCCACTCCGAACCCCAGGTCGCGCAGGCAACTATGATAGCATACATTTCTTTGAACTCAATGTTCTCGTTCTCGTTCTGGGCTGTCCACTCTCCTCTCAGCCACCGGCCGTTGTAGAAGGCACCATAACCGTGAGTGCCGCTGGCATCAGTCTGTAGTTGCATGTCGGGGGCTGGCGTCCACTCATCCACCAGGAAGAATGACTTCCCATTCCATATGGTCAGGGCCTCTGCCCACCACAACAGGTCTGCCATTGCCGATGCCGAAATGCGTAGCCATTGGTGCAATGGTGTTGATCGAGTTGCTCTGTCCAGGTCGTACAGGCGTCTCAGGAATGTGCGACCAGCTGGTACAGCTCTGGACGCGAACGAGAGTTTGCCCAATACGGAGGCGAGGTCGCGTTTCTGAACCCGGCCGGATTGGACGAGGGCCGACACGGTGGTAGATAGCTTAGTCAGCTTTGAGGGTGGAAGGCGGATCTCCAGAGCCATTGTGTCCAGCTCTAAGCCCAGGAAGGTGAGAACCGTAGAGGGGCCGTCAACCTTCTCAGGTGCAACTGGGACCTGTAAATATGCAAACAGGTCGAGCAGTAGTGACTTCTGGTGCTGGGCAAGAGGAAGACTGGGAGGCGATACATTCAGGAAGTCATCCAGATAATGAATGAGATGGGGAAGGCGGCATGTGTCCTCCAGAACCCAATGAAGGGCAGATGCAAACTTGTCAAATATGTACGGAGCTGACCGAAGGCCGAACGGGAGGACTTTTTCGAAATAGTAACGACCATCCCAAGAGATACCCAACAAGTGCCAGTCAGAGGGGGCAACAGGGCATAATCGGAAGGCGTTTCGAATGTCCACTTTGGTCAGGTAGCAACCACGGCCGAACTTCATGATATAGGAGATAGCCGAATCGACAGTGTCATACTCCAAGCTGAATGACTCCCGGGAAATACCATCATTGACACTGCGGCCAGTGGGGGAGGATAGGTTATAGCACGCCTGTTTGCACCATGGCAAGGTTGACTTAGTCCCATACCGTAATTCCGCGCATATTAGCCCATGGGCTTTATTATGTGAAATAATGCAGTTTGGGGATAAAAATCCAGTAAAACATGTTCGTTTTTTAGCACATGGGCCAATATTCGAATATTGAAGGTTCACGAAAAAGTACAATTCCGTGCTCATAGTGGGTCTACCATACTCTACTGGTAAACTGCACTGACCTGCTGTACCATGGTAGGAAGAGTCCATATTGTGAAAAATTCTACTTGACACGTGAGTTGCATTTGTGTCTGTTTATTAGCCCATGGGCTTATAAACGGAGGTGGGCTTATATCCGGATATAGGCCCGTGGGCTTATATGCGCGGAATTACGGTACACATCGGGCACAATGTACAGTTAGCAATTCATGGTAGACTGCAATGTTCCAAAAGAAATTTTCCTGGCATATACAACTTTAGGCTTCGATTCAGGGAACGGCTATTACAATTTACAACATCGTAACCAAAGCATACATACCTTATCAAAGATGTGCTGCAAAAAGAGCATTGGACAGACACAAACATACCAAGTTTGACGTTAGCTGGATCATTCCCACATTACCATGCCGCGAAGACCCAGCTCAGTACATGGTGGCCATAATGCAACAATAGATAGCCAAACCACACAACAAGACTAGCAACACATCAAATACGTTTGACATACCGGTATGAAGCTACTAGTAATAAACACAGGAATCGGCAATCAGTAGCCTACGTCATGCACTCTCTCAAAATTAGAATACCGGTCTGTTGACAGCTCTAGGGATTTCTCAACAAAGCTCTTCCAGTTCTTATTGCAAAGCTCACCGTGATGTTGGCTCTGATTACCACAGAGTTCGGAATGCAGACCCGCGCTTCGTCGGCATCATATCCTGTGATGCAATGAGTTGAGTTGTTGATCTTGGCATCATATGCCAGATTACAATCATAGTACACTAGTATATGGCCAGCCAGGGGGCACCAACCCACGGCAATATTCTCCCACCGGTTCTCCACAAAGTCATCAGAAGGAAAAGAAATAGTTTCATTGGATCCATTCGCAGTGTACGTTATAATAATCTACAAGGAAAGAACCCATCACATACACAACATCATCATGTCACCTAACTCTCCATGATAACTGGGCAGATTTGTGAAGCTCAGTGTCCTATATCCCCTTACTGTTAGCGGATTAGGAACCGATATACAGCTAGGCAAGCAGGCACAGTGGGATGGTCTAAAGCCATGATTGAGAAACAGAGGGTACCAGGTTCAAGTCCTGCTGGAAGCGGAAGGATTTTTCCAGGCGTGCTGCGACCCACAGTTAATTGGAAACGCGTGGCTTGGCACGCGGGAAGCATGGATGCAGTAAATGGGATTATAGGTCTTCGAGCACTTGGTGGTGGGTCGGGTGTCCTCACCTCCCACCGCTTTAAGGGGTGCATCCGCGACTTGAACCTTGGGTGGTGGCGTTTCTATGGATGCGGAAAACTTGGCCTCTAGCCGAGTCTCACGCGAACCGTTAAATTAATTTATTTTTTACATGTGGTCATAGAAGAAATAACGCAAACCTCGTAAGAAAAATGTGCCAGCTGTTCATTGAGAGATGTTCCATAGCCACTACGTAGTTTGTCCAAGGTCTGTCTTCTACTTCAAGTACATGTAATAATGTCATCAGCATACTCACTGCTCTGCGTTGAATTTGCACCGACCAGCCTCGCAGTGCCACTTCCACCTGTGTCTTATCGCCCAGTTCATCACCTGGTATGAAGTGTACGTTCAAACCTACCGTGAAGCATGTCGTGATGTCACATGAATTGTATAGGTTTACTGGTGCCTGGAGAATGGACTGAAGGAGAGAGGTCAGAAGAATACAAGAAACAGTGGAACAGTGGAGCAGTATGTCATGACATTAGCTCACTTCAGCAATGATGCAATTAGACAAGGCTTGCTGCATCCCCCCCCCCTCACTTAAAAACTCAATCGCTCTTTGCCTCTTAAACTGGAATTTCAAAGAGCTGCACATGTGAATGTTATGGAAAGGCAAATATTATAGCGTTTGCAGCTGTTATCAACTTCAATAGAGCAAATATCCTCGGAAATAACAAAATAACAATATTAATGGTTTGCTAGTATCATCCACAAGAACACTGTATTGGTCAACACACCTTGAAGTGTGCACACTGCTGCCTTGTTGCATTGCTCAGGTCAGGTACACTCGGTTTTACTGGGATAGGATCAGCGGAGACAATAATAGAAGAATTGCCTTGGGAGCTGTTGTTGCCTGTAACAGCATGATCAAACACATCACAATGCAGGCACTCAATCTTCAGTGTGAGAATCACCCTGGGGGTGGGGCATGGCAAAAACACAGACAAAGCATAGCAGTCCATGCAGTCATAAAAGAGAGCATGCAGCGGCGTCTGGGTTGATGCCAGGAAAGTGCAGCATACAAGTCATTGCATGATGGATCATCTGTAGCACTCCATCACAATAATACACATGATAATCATCCTAAATCTACAAGAGAACCAAGTCGGTAATCTTTGCTACATTGCCGGGGACACTGTTGTGCAGCACTATTAGTTACTGGTTCTTACCGTTAGGGGTGGCTGATGCCGAGAGTGGACAGCGCACTGGTTCGTCACCTGGGAATGACTGTAGATTCTCATATACTCTCTAAGATAACAGTGTAACAGGTGTGAGAGACAGAAACCAAGAGTTCCCATGATTAGTGAAGAGACCCATCATGAATAATTGTCGCACATTGTGTGGTCAGACAACTACAAGCACAACGTTAGGGTTTACAACCAAGAGTACAACAGCGACACCACACCACGTGATGCGAGTTTTCGCCATCGGCGTACCCCATAGAAAGGTTATCAGGAGTTGCACACTCTTGGGGGGGGGGGGGGGGGTATATACACTTGTTACAACGCATCAAAACACTGGAGAGGCATACATGTACATACCTTTTGGAATATATGCTGCAAAAGGAGCACAGGACAGACACAAACACACCAAGTTTAACATGAGCTTGATCATCCACATACAGTCGACCTACCCTTATAACGATATTTGCGTCAAACCAAGAAATATTGTTATAAGTGTAATATTGTTATAAGGGTAACTGGTTCATTTCATACACATATGTCATGATGCATGGATTTTGTTCATTTTTTACACTCTTCATAGCATAAAACTGACGTACATGCCCATTGTGTACACAGCAAGGTGCCTACTGGTGCCCCCATTGCATTTCGTCATGTCCCAGCGACTTATCAAGTGAAGCTTGCCCTACCTGGATAGTGGGCTCTACATATCCCCTGCTAGATATTGTTATAAAATGGAAAATGTCGATTGGTCAGCCCATTTTATATCGTTATAGGGGTAATATCGTGATAGCAATATTGTTATAGAGGTAAGGCATTGTATACACAAGTCAATGGAGTGATTTGGTTTGCCAGAAAAATATCGTTATAAGGGTAATATCGTTATAGAGGTTATCGTTATAAGGGTACAGTAAGATCGGGCGCCGAAGAACGCAGGGGCTCGAGCGCAGCCTAGGAAAGTTCATAAATTTTTGATTCTAGCCAGACCGTTCTTATTCACACGCGCGCGCGGCGAGTCGAGTGACGTCATGACGTTTGTCATGTACATGTAGTACATGTACTACATGTACTACATGTACATGTACATGTACATGTACATGTACATGTAGTACAATGTAGTACTTCTAAACTAGTGGGTGTCGTAAATGGGAATGACTGTACATGTAGCAGTTACTGTTTACACGTGTACATGACATGTACTCACCTCCCATACATGTACAATGTTCCAAATTTTAAAAGTGTTCTTAAATCTGATAATTCTAGCCTGGACTGTTCTTAAATTTTGCCGGTTTTCCAGCCTGAGTGTTCTTCGGCGAGGTGTTCTTCGGCGCCCGATCTTACTGTAGGTCGACTGTATTCACATTCAAGTCCCCGCTCAGGTTTGTATGGCATCAGAACAGTAGATGTCCATATCACAGACACAACAGGGGCAACATAATCATGTTGAAATAAGTTTATTCAGACAGAAAAAAGGAAAAATACTTCCAAGCAGTGATTTAGTCCCCCTGAAACATGTCTGCAGCTCGGGCAAATGCTTAGCAACATTTTCCAGTTCTTTTGCGAATTGGCAAAGCTCACCGTAATGTTCTCTCTGATTTCTGCAGAGTTTGGAATGCACACTCGCGCTTCATTGACATCACGTCCTGTGATGCAATGAGCAGAGCTCTGGACCTTGACATCCCACAGCCGATAGCAATTGTAGTAGACTACCGCACGGCCAGCCAGGGGACACCATCCGACAGCTATGTTTTGAAATCGGTCCTCGTGAAAACCGTACGGCAATGAAATGTTCTCCTTCGTTCCGTTGGCAGTGTACGTCAGTACAACCTGCAGGGGTAGCATCAGATATCATATCACACTGACTTCAGTATGCTTGTTGGTATACCGGTATCTGCCTCAGCTTTTCTCTTCAAGTGAAGGTAGGATAAGTTTCCCAAAGCGGATACCAGATGAGCACTTGTCAGTAAAGAAGGTCGGTCGCCCTCCTAGAATCCCGAAAAGGTAATGTTTCATGGACAACCCCACCACTGGGGCACCATAAAGCATACAGTGTATAACACAACATTCTCGGTGTAACTTTAATTTCGGTTATTTTGGTAGAGAAACCAGGCACCTATTACACCTAAAAGGCACTAAGGTATGCACTGTATGTGAAGGGTATACACTGTATGTGAAGGGTATGCACTGTATGTGAAGGGTATGCACTGTATGTGAAGGGTATGCACTGTATGTGAAGGGTATGCACTGTATGTGAAGGGTATGCACTGTATGTGAAGAGAAATCTGAATGGTGGTCACCTAATTCTATACATTACACCTGAAATCTGTCAGGCTAAGCCGGTCCCTCACATCGACATTTTAATGCATTTTAAAATTGAATGTTAATGATGTTATACAGTATCCTCAACACTATAAGGGAATTAGCTTGCATGGTTCCAACATCACAGCAACACATACAACATTTCACCAGTAGCAGAGAATAAGGTTGAGGATTCAACACCCTCTTTTTGTTTGAACACAACTTTGACCATGCACCCACCGACTGACATCAGGCCGTTCTAGCCAAAGAGGGTAGAGGGGCGCAGCCCCCCCCCCCCCCCCCTCCCCCCTACTCTGTTTGCGCGCCCCTGTGAAAGAGTGCCGCCTCCTACACATTTTCCGATTTTAGTGTTTTTTCATGCCATTCCACGAAAAATGCAGTCGATAGTCACTACTAGAGGGTTCATGAAAGCACATTTGTCTGGGGTGAAGTCGGGGGCACGCCCCATGCGTTGCATTTCGCATGGCAAGACAATTTTGGGAACATGGAAAATAGGTTACAGGGTAACTGTTTCCCATGTCCCCCCCCCCCCCCTACTATTTTTGACCTGGCTCAGAGAACCCTAGACATGTATACATGTACACACAGTGGCAGGAGTGTTTGATGATATTTGTTTAGTGCCTTTTTTTATAATACTCACCGCATTTCGTCGAATTTGCACCGACCAGCCATGTAGTGTGATCTCCACCTGTGTCTGACCGTCTAGCTCATCACCTGGTATCAAGTGTACCTCTATAGCTACCGTGAAGCATGTCGTGATGTCACATGAATTGTATAGGTTCACTGGTGCCTGGAGAATGGGCTGAAGGAGAGAGATCAGAAGAGCAAAGGAAACAGTGGAACAGTATGTCAAGACGTTAGTTCACTTCAGCATAATATTATGCACTTAGACAAGACGTGTTGCATGTTCTCTCTCTCCCCACCCCCACCTCACCCTTAAAACCCCAATTGTGCTTTATCTCCCAAATTGGAATTTCAAAGAGCAGCACATGTGAATGTTATGGAAAGGCAAATATCATGGTGCTTGCAGCTGTTATCAACTTCAATAGAGCAAATATCCTCGGAAATAACAAAATAACAATATTAATGGTTTGAACAAGAACACTGTCTTGGTCAACACACCTTGAAGTGTGCACATTGCTGCCTTGTTGCATTGCTCAGATCAGGTACACTCGGTTTTACTGGGATAGGATCAGCGGAGACAATAATAGGAGAATTGCCTTGGGAGCTGTTGTTGCCTGTAACAGCACGATTAAACACATTACAAAATTGGCACCGAATCTTCACGGAGTGATATTTATCCGGGGGCAGGGCAAAACAGACAAAGCGTATCAGTTCCTACAGCCATAAAAGCGAGGCTGCCCCCTTGCATAAGCTGCACGTCTAGATGGAACCGGCTTACAGCCAACCGTGATAGAACATTTCGTCCAAGTATTAGTATACTTGTAGGTTTTCTAAGAAATGCATGCTTAGGTTCTACAAAGGTAGAGGTACTCAAGTAGTTCCAAGGATCCATAGCCAAGAGTATGATGCCTTTGATTATGGATGCCAGTGCATGACTGTAATGTTGTTCTCTTGCTTCATTCCAAACAACAACTAACTCGGAGCTCCGCCGGAAAGCTCTGCAATATGATGCCAACAGAATGTAACGGTATTGTGCACGGAACACTACCTGTGTTGCATATAACTTGTCTGCATCATCGCCCTCGCTGCACTCATTCTCTGACCCACAATCACTCGACTCAACATATTTAAAAAGCCGCGTGAGTAAATCCTAAGCAAGCAAGCAACTACATGTACTCGTAATGTGGGAAAAAGCATGCAGCGCCATGTGCTTTGATGGTAGGAAAGTGCAGCATACAAGTCATTGCATGATGGATCATCTGTAGCACTCCATCACAATAATACACCTGATAATCATCCTAAATCTAAAAGAGAACCAAGTCGGTGATCTTTGCTACATTGCCGGGGACACTGTTGTGCCGCACTATTAGTTAATGGTTCTTACCGTTAGGGGTGGCTGATGCCGAGAGTGGACAGCGCACTGGTTCGTCACCTGGGAATGACTGTAGATTCTCATATACTCTCTGCGATAACAGTGTAACAGGTGTGAGAGACAGACTTGAAGTCAGAAACCAAGAGTTCTCATGATTATCGAAAAGACCCATCATGAATAATTGTCGCACATAATTGTGTGCCCAGACATCTACAAGCACAACGTTAGGGTTTACAATGCATCAAAACACTGGAGAGGCATACATGTACATACCTTTTGGAATATATGCTGCAAAAGGAGCACAGGACAGACACAAACATGCCAAGTTTGATCATCCACACATTCACATTCAAGTCCCCGCTCAGGTGTGTATGGCATCAGAACAGTAGATGTCCATATCACACAACAGGAGCAATATAATCATGTTAAAATAAGTTTGTTCAGACAAAAACAGGCAAATACTTCCAAGCAGTGATTAATAAAGTCCCCTAAAGTATGTCGGCAGCTCTGGCAAATGCTTAACAACATTTTCTAGTTCTTTTGAGAATTGGCAAAGCTCACCGTAATGTTCTCTCTGATTTCTGCAGAGTTTGGAATGCACACTCGCGCTTCATTGACATCACGTCCTGTGATGCAATGAGCAGAGCTCTGGACCTTGACATCCCACAGCCGATAGCAATTGTAGTAGACTACCACACGGCCAGCCAGGGGACACCATCCGACAGCTATGTTCTGAAACCGGTCCTCGTGAAAACCGTACGGCAATGAAATGTTCTCTTTCGTTCCGTTGGCAGTGTACGTCAGTATAACCTGCAGGGATAGCATCAGATCATATCATACTGACTTAGCATCAGATATTCATACTGACTTCTGTATGCTTGGTGGTAAACGGTATCTTGCCTCAGCTTTTCTCTGCAAGTGAAAGTACGATAGGCCCAAGTGGATACCAGGCCAGTCAGTAGTTGTCAAGAAGGCCATCCTCCCAGAAGGTAGGGTCTCATGGACAAACCCAACCACTGGGTCACCGTAAAGCATACAGTGTATTTTCGTTGTAACTCTACTTTCTGAAAATTCGGTGGAGAACTTGAATCAGGCACCTGAATTTAGGTTTCAACTCAAATGCACTACATGTAGGGTATGAACTGTATGTGAAGGGAATGCTGGTCAATCACCTGTAATTCTATACATTAGACCTGAATCCTGTCAGGCCAAGTTCCTCGCACCGACATTTTAATGCACCTTGTTTCTACCTCTTGATTTACAATTCCACAAACACTACCATACAGCAAGACTGTACTACTCTTTCATTTCACCTCACGCCAAGCAGCTAACCAAACCAAAACAAGACCAAACCAGCACCACCAAAGCAGGAACCTAAAACTAAACAGTAAACACAAAGGGAAACAAACCCATACATGTGTACATGTGTACATGTGTACATGTGTACATGTGCGTGCAGACCGCGGCTCGTGCCGGATTGGACCAGGCAACTGCGGCCAATGTCAGAGCACAGATCTACGGATCACAGACTAAACGTCCTAGCCTATAGCGGCACATGATAGATAGATGACAACGTGTGTAAGGTGACAGCCGCATACGAGTGCATGAAAGATCAGACAGTACATGGACCGACAGTTATAACTGATAACTGGAGCCAAGTAGTGTGCAACCGCATCTTCAGTACCATGACTGAAAGTCTATATCAATACAGTTGAACATCGATTATCCGACCACCTCTGGGCAGACAACTGTCAGGCGGTGTTCAGATAAGGCAAATGTTCCGGATAAGAAAACACACTGTAAATACATGTACATGTACATTGTAAATAGAATAGAGTGCTACTTTTCAAAATTTTCGTATTTTGGAATGGCTCACTACATGCACAGTGCGTACTCTACGGCACGTGCGCCCAAAAAAACTGTTACGGATAATCGAATGGTCGGATAGTCGATGTGCGGATAATCGATGTTCAACTGTAGCAGACGTGTTAGACATACATAGAACCTAGACTACAGACAATGTAGCTGTAATACAATACGCAAATTAGTAGTATGTTGCATACGACGGGTGTAGCTACTTGTCGCCTACATCGCCTACAGGGGGGGGGGGGCAACACATCTAACATTGAATGTTGAAATGTTACACAGTATCCTCATAACTAGTAAAAGGGAATTAGCTTGCATGGTTCCAACATCAGAACTAAATATTGCGACAGAGCTTTCGGCCATATTTTCAATTCATTGCATTCCCAACTCATCACAACCACGCGCTCTTCAGCCGAACCATACAGACACCAGCAAGGACACTTCCGTTGAGAGATGATATTGCTCCACGCCTCTAGACAGCTGTTTCGCTCCCTGTCGGAGCTCATCAGTAGAGGATGATAATGGAGGAATGATCATTCTTATACACCAGAAATGGCGCATCACCGCACTATTCACTACATTTTACTAGCAGAGAGTAAGGTTGAGGACTCAACGCCCTCTTTTGCTTTGAACACAACTTTGACCATGCACCCATCGACATTATATACAGCAGGAGTGTTTGATCATAATAAATGGTTTAGCGCCCTTTTATAATACTCACTGCATTTCGTCGAATTTGCACCGACCAGCCATGGAGTGCAATCTCCACCTGTGTCTGACCGTCCAGCTCATCACCTGGTATCAAATGTACCTCTATAGCTACCGTGAAGCATGTCGTGATGTCACATGAATTGTATAGGTTCACTGGTGCCTGGAGAATGGGCTGAAGGAGACAGAATACAGCGAGAGAAGAAACACTTGCCCTGATGCTCACTAAAAGCACAATCATGCAGACCCTTGTTTTGACGCTCACTCCTGCACCCCCCCCCCCCCCATCCGGCCAATGCTGCATACATCGTAGTCGACTACCATGTGCAGCACTGGTCAGTGCTGTTTGGGGTGCCGGTAAGTGAGTATTGTACTATTGGCAGGAGCTTCTTTCACTGATTCAGATGCTGAAGCTGTTGCCCAGTGGGATGTCCCCCAAATCCTGAGCCTCCGCACTGTCCAAGCACATGACTATGTTTCAAGTAGGGGTGAGACGATTATACCGAATACTCGAAATAGAAATCGTTACAGGCTAACGAATCGATCATTCGAAAAGTGTCGATTACTCGATTATGCATATAGTATACATGATTATACACGTATGAGTGTAGATCGACCGATGTGTGAGAAAAAATCCTCTTCTCCACAGGATCTTAAAATTCTAATTTTTCCCATTTTTCAGCTTCCAATACTGCTTTTATCAGTGGAAGAAATAATCGAAAAATAACCGATAACCGATCGATAAAGGTTTAGGTAGTCAAAAAGTGTAATCATTTCACCCCTAGTTTCAAGAAGTGTGTCATGAGATGCTGGAGGACTGAGGTGCTACTCTGAACCGGCATTCCAATTGAGGACGGTCACAATTGAAGATGGTATTGACGGGCGTGGTTATTTCTGGCCACAGCTGACTGTGCTGGAAGAGAGGGCGACGGCTTTCCGCCAGGTAGCATCTTGGGCCCGACTCTATTCCTGCTTTACACGAGTGATGCTGAGGACCACCTATCTGCTGAGGCTCAGCTTGCTGTATAATTATGGTGATGACAACACCTTATACAAGTGCATATTTAGCCATATCACTCCACTTTACAACTGGCCCAGACATGCTCCTCGCCCTTCTTCCACCCGGCCCAGCTACCAACACACCATGCCATAGCCGACGCACGCAACAGCATCCCTCACACCAGTTTCAGTTCACTTCCACTCCTCCCGGCGCAGAATGATGTCCTTCCCTGAGGCTGTTGTGAAGGCCTGGAACCATCTCCCGCTGTGCGTTCTGCTGAACCCGCCAACAAGGAAAGGACTGCAGACTTTCAAAGAGGAGGTCAACGCCCACCTGCGCCTTACCCGCTGAGATTGTGCAACGAACAAGCTATGAACTAAAGAAAAATGAAGAAGAAAAAAGCTCTAACTCTGTTCCCTCCTCCATTCACTTCTTGACTCTCAATGTGCATACTTTCCCCTGTAACCCCCATTAATCTACCCCCCCCCCCCGCATATTTTCTGTAATCTTTTGTTTCTGTGGAGCGCTTGGTTCGCAATAAAGCCGAGACCCTATGGTCGGCAAAGCTACCCCTGCCTCTCCCCACCCCTGCCATTCCATAATACATGTATGCCTCATCGCTGCCATGTTGCTTTGTGCCATCTAATGGTGTGTGTTTTTTTGTAAAAAAAAACAACAAAACAAAAACATCTCCATTATAACTGTTATGCCGGTACGTACGGTTTCAACGGCACAGCGCCTAGGCATGTTCTTCTCTCCGGGCGGGTTTGTGTCCTCACTGGGAGGTGCTGTTGATGGTGATCCATTCCGGTTGCGTGCATCATTGCCTTCAGAGTCACGCTCGTGCAGGTGGTCAGCAGTCTGCGCCGGACTAGAGCGTGATTCCTCTGCCACGTCGCCAGCTACTAAGGGCGATTCCTCTTCCACGGCGGCAGCTGTTTAGCAGAGCATCAATGTCATGGTGTAATGCAACGTTCAACAAAAGTTAAAACGAAGAAAGTGGTTGCTCCAAAAGTCGGAGCTCGCGCTTCCTGCCGACCGACTTGACACTTGACTGACTCACGACTGCGTCTAGGAGCACGCGAGAAGCCCGTCGAACCTTCCACTCGGCAAACCTGCAAGAAAGCACCACTCCCTGCTCGCTACACAGTGTTTCGGGGAATTCGCCCCTCTTCAGTTGAGCTTGAGTAGGCTGAGGTCCTAGTGAGGAAGACTGTCTGAAGAGAACCACTTATTGTGCTTTCCAGGCCAAACCATCACCAGGGATACAAACTTACTTACAGATACGCTCCGTATCCAGCGCGACAAACACCTCGTGAGCACCAGGCAGCAACGCGAGTCAGTGTCGCACATGGAGAAACAGTTGTGAGAACAATTATTACAGCCGATGTCGCAGCATCTTACTTCTTAGTTCAGAAAACACGTACTGTAAATATACCAAATTTCGCGATTTATTTTCGGCGTGGGGTAGAGGGCATGATAGTGCGACAGATGCTGTGAAAAATTTCATCGGCGTTTTAATTTAGGCGTTTTGGGTCGGTGCCGAATATAGCCGAAATTAAATAGCTGCCGAAAATTTGTATATTTACAGTAACAAAATACTTGTACTTGTAGTTGTACTGCGCGACGCACAGAAAAAATCTGATAATTATTCGCTGAGTGTCCATGGTGTCTGGTCTTGTTGAGCATTGCAGACCATGAACGCACATGCACGGCCATATATATCACCCCCTCCCCCCACCCCCCCCCCCCCCCCCCTCCCTCCTCTCATCTCAGTCATGTCCTGTACTGTCTATACTGTCTGTAGAACTAGAAGTCACCAACAAACTGATTGTTATCACAGCCACAGGGTCGAAAACAGATTGATTGCAGCTTGCACCCCGGACGTGCAAGGGTCACACGATCGAAGTGGTCCAAGAACAATCATTTTTACATGTACGTGTAAGCATAGAGTGCACCTAGGTTGGTCATTGAAAAGTCAGAGGAACTTTCTTCCGAACATCACAGACTAAATCTACCAAGTAAGTCAGTTTCATGCTTCAACGCAGCCACAGACTCTACGATGGCATTGGGGTACACCAGAGAAGACTAAAATAATGGTAAACCATCAAGCGGCGTGGCAGATGTGTGCGAGGAGTCAGAGGTTCCGTACCAGTACAGACCAACATGATAATGTACTGCCTTAGTAGACCCTACATGGCACAAGCATGACAGTGTAACCCCTGGCAAACCTGGCTATTAGCTCACCGCGTTGTGCACCTGCTCTGGGAGCAGCGGTCGATCTTGAACCTTGCTCTAGCATTGGCACGTCCGCACCGGTAGTTCCATTGCCATTGCACGGACTCGGAGAAGACAAAAACGCTGGCTGACTCAAGAAGAGCGCAAACAGAGTGACAGCCGACCCCAGCACAACCCCTATGCTGACCTGGCAGAGTATTCTAGCCGCGGACGACGGCGCTCTGTCCTTAGAGTAGTTAGACGAAGGTACACTCGGCCTCGGTGTGTAGGATGACACAGCCAAAGAAGCAATATTGCTGTCGAGCCGATCCATTTCATGCTTCTCCATTGTAAAGCTTTGTCCTGGCAGCAGCCGCACTGCAGTCACACCTAGGCTACAGAGTCGAGGACTTCCGGGACGAGTTCCCGCCAATCAGGTTACCAAAGGGATGCTAACGATTGAGGATATGATATTATGGCGGTTTGCACATGGAACTATCCGTCCTGAAGGATGTTGGCGACCAAGTCAACATCCAACACTATCACAAGGTCTCGTATACGCGTACATGTACTGCACTAGTACGTATTATTATAATAATTAACCGTGCGTCTGTGTGTGGTGTGTGTGCGTGTGTGTGTGTGTGTGTGTGTGTGTATGTGTGTGTGTGTGTGCGTGCGTGCTCATGACAAAGATCAAATCGAGTCGTGCGGAGGTGGAGGGACTCTATGTAGCATTGTAGGAGGATGGGAGAGTTCCAGCGGTGGCTTAGCTTGCACGTCCTGCATCGATGCTGGGCTGAGGTGCTGTTGCAGGATTCGTGACCAGTTTCGGTCACTCCTGTGATGGATGTGTTCCACGGTCGCCCGCACAGAGAACCGATCATTCGGCACTCGACCTCCGAAACACAGGAGAAGTGGGAGAGCTATTGAAGCCTGCATGACAACCGAGAGGTCGCGGGTTCGAGCCCCGCGATCGCACATCTGACCGCAAATCCCGATATGACGCAACTGACCACCAGATCAAAGTATGGGTCCTCTTCACTCAGTAGAAACAGAGTCGAGCGAGCTGTATTCCCGGTGGAGAAAGGCGGGCTCACCGCCCCTGTGTGGCAACTATTACTTCCCCATGTCTAATCCCAAGACGAAGTCAATACTGTATTACTAGTCATACTGACCGAAGTAATTTTTTAACGACTGGTGGTACTTGCCTATCATACCCTCTGACCCAGTCGTTATTGCAGCTAATGATAGAAGCATGTCGTCACAAACAGACCGTCTGCTTGTCAAGGATATAATATTCAATCTCTGGACAGCTAACTGGTTCGACTTGTTCTAGAGCTCGCCAGAGGAGCTCAGAGGTACTGGCCGAACTGATCTCAGTGTAGCCTAAAGAACAACAAAGCATTAGCCGGCTCAAGCATCAAAGGCAGAGTGCTCTAACTGTGAGCAACACTGCGAGCTTTGCACGAGGGCAGATAACTTTGACGCTTACCAGAAAGAGTGCTCAACCTAGCCGAGAAATACATGTATGTCATTGTAGGCCTTAGCTTGGGCTTCCTCGTCACCATGGTCACGAGCACTCTGACTAGCACAACTAATTACTTCCAGACCATCCAGGTGATATTTCACTGCCAGAAAACAAGTTCATATATATACATGTAGTGAGTTGCTGATGACTCCGTGCTACAATTAGACCACATGCATGATTACAACGCGCCTAGATTGACGAGTAGTGGAATGAAATCCTTCTCAGCAGTGGCTAAAGTAGACCAGGTTTGCATTGGGGGTCGATTCACATGGTTTTCCCAGTTGTGTGGATTTTAATCAGTGGATGCACATCCAGTGCGTTTGCAGATTTGCGTGCTTCTGCTGCGACAGGCGTACCCGTGTGTGTGTGTGTGGGTGTGTATGTGTGTGTGTGTGTGTGTGTGTGTGTGTGTGTGTGTGTGTGTGTGTGTGTTTGTGTCTTCGCGGTCCTATTCCGATGTTCTCCGCCAAGTGTGGTTTAGACCAGGTGTGCAGCATTGGGGATAGATTCACATGGCTTCGCCAGCTGTGTGGATTAGGCAGTTATCTGGCCCTACATGACATTGTAGTCTTGATCTGTTTGGTCTGCTATAGTTGCTATAAGAGAGAGAAAATCTGTGTATGAAGAGCTTGAGAACAAAACGCTGTATGCGCCAAATCTTCAAAATCGAGATTTTTGACCCAACTGAAAGATCACATCGAGCTGAATTTGATGGCGAGGTCATTTTTGGTGAAAACGCAGTACATCCTACAGAAAACCCCATTCAAACAGTCGCTTTCAGAGCAAAACGCTGTATATCCGGCTAGGATTTTTTTTCAAAACGCAGTATACGCCAGTTGTCATAGTTATACAGTCGTGGGCAGCGCGCGTGGTGTTCAGAACGCGCAGAACACTGCTTTTTGTCATTTTTCAAACTAGTTCGAATTATTTTTTTGAACGAGCGCTTGACTCGACTTATGGCTGTCAAATTAGCTTTCTCTTCTTCCTGACGCTGTCAAAGCTCTTGTCTTAGACATCAGCGTGGCGGAGGTGACATTAGATGGTATGAGTGAGCCAGTTGTTTTGTCTCCTGCTGGGAGAGGGCGTCTTGTGCCTATATTCTCACCCGGATATACTGCGTTTTGCCAAAAAGAAGGTGAAAAATTCAAAAAATATCAAAATCTGAGAGGTGTGGATTTTTGATGACATGGTGTTTGGGGTCCAGTATTCCTTCTGGTACTAAATCCAAATTTCCATTGGGATGGGATGTAAGACAATGTCAGAACCGAATTTTGACTTTACCCGAAAAGTGCCAAAATGGATATACCGTGTTTTGTTCTCAAGCTCTTCGTATGCACATTCAGTGCTTTTGCTTCTCTTGTGACGGGCGTATACAGGGTACATGGTGCGTGCGTGCGTGCGTGTGTGTGTGTGTGTATCAATGTGCCAGCTAGTTCGGTTGGTGGGTACACGTATGCCGGATAGTGTTGGGTCTGTTGCCAACGGGCTCGGCTGCTTGAAGGTGTAATGTTGTACCTACCACCTTTGTTGGTTTCAGGGTTCATATACTTTCTATTTGAAGTATACATACCTGTTAACTAGTTAACAATGGACTACTTGTGGCTAGATTAACTCTTGTGTAATCATGGTGCTAGTGAAGCTTGTATCAGATCCACTCTGATTTAGCCACCCACACTAGTAGCAAGTATTACCTTCACTGGGGGCAGGGGTAGCTGCAGTTGGATCCCGGGACGGATATCCTGATGCCGTCAATCCTTTTTCTGCACCTTGTCCTCACTAGGCATATGCGGATAATGCCGGCAGAAAAATTGGCATAATTCGGTACTTTTTCTAGTAAGTTTCATGGATGCTTGGTATGTGGATAAAGAAATGGAGCAGAATTCGAGGAATTGCCCGCCATAAGGTTTGTTACGGTTCTGCCAATTTCACTGCTTTTCGAGCAGAATCTGCCACATTTTCGAGCATTATCCACACACCCCTAGTCCTTACCCACTTACTGAGGTGTGGTGAGCCCATACGTGGGATCACAAGTCCACCCAGAGTTTTGGGTATTTCAGGGGGTGTCGGCTGTTGGGCGGTTCAGTAGCCAATTCAGTCGTCTTTCCAATATTCCTTTTGAGTCTCTCTCCCCTCTCACGGGGAGGCCCACGTGACCAGTTTGGGCAGTGAGCAACAAGTACAATTGTCACTGTGTGTGTGTGTGTGTGTGTGTGTGTGTGTGTGTGTGTGTGTGTGTGTGTGTGTGCGTGTGTGTGCGTGTGTGTGTATGTGTGTGTGTGTGTATATATGTGTGTGTGTGTGTGTGTGTGTGTGTGTGTGTGTGTGTGTGTGTGTGTGTGTGTGTGTTAGGCCTTGACGGATTATGCTAATATTTTCGTGAAATTATGCTTTTCGCATTTCTGAAAAAATTGCAGATTTATGCTACTTTTATGCTAAAAGTTATCATATTATTATGCCGCATTATGCTCACATATGCTGCTAATATTATGATGATTCTGTGCAAAATAACAGGGAATTTTTTGTAGAGGGCGTTGTACTGTACATGGACATGTAGTAGCAAAAGTTCAACGGGGTCAACCCACCGTCCGACCTAGCTACGACCTACACTGATTGTAGTGTGGACTGGACATGTTACCAAGGGAGTCGTAAACCTACGACTTCCTGGTGCATCTACTTGTACTTGTACTTGTAGAACATTGTACAACTGTATGGAATTTGATGCGAACAGGCGGATTATTCCAATTTATGCGATTCGTATGCAATTTGCCTCGAATTATGCGATTATTCGATTTTGGTAGGAATTATGCGAAAAATTATGCTAGCATAATCCGTCAAGGCCTAGTGTGTGTGTGTGTGTGTGTGTGTGTGTGTGTGTGTGTGTGTGTGTGTGTGTGTGTGTGTGTGTGTGTGTGTGTGTGTGTGCCAGTGCTCCCAGTGTCACCGATGGTTTCGGAGTGCGGGTGGCATTGCAGTCCGGGCCATCGCTGCACCCAGTCCAGTTCTGCCCCGAATGTTGCCAATGCCACAAGCTCTTCACCGGTACGCATATGTATTCGGAAACCGTGCTGTACCACTCACTGTCCCATTTGTGAACGTTGCTGTAAGTCGATCCGGGGCTTTGCTATCCACAACTGCAACCGATCCACCAGGCGTCCAACTGCTGATGAAAGGGACAAGTTCCAATTGCAATGTCAGAATTGCCAGAGGCGTTTCAAGACGCGAAACGACTTATCCCGTCACCAACGCTCATGTCTCCTCTCGTCTCCAGTCTCGCTCAACGAGAAACACGTGACCTACATGGCAGTGTATACCAGGACCAGGACCAGGTGTGTGTGTGTGTGTGTGTCTGTCTGTCTGTCTGTATGTGTGTCTGCATAAGTGTGTATGGGCAGGGTGTGAGTTGCTAGGCTAATGCTAGCACCCGGTGTTGTACTGACGTCTCCTTTGTTACTACGTGTTCCGCAGCATCATAGTGGAGCTTTAAAGCCTAGGGGTGGGTGCTGTCTGCTGATGTTCATACCACCTGATCATCATGACGTGTTAGGTGCCTGCTAAGGCGTGAAACTAAAGTAACTTGGGAACTGATCGAGCTATTTCTATGTCGCCCTAACACATTCACACACACACACACATACACACGCACATACACGCACACATACACACAAATGCACACACACACAAATGCACACACACACACATGCGCACACACGCACACACCACACACACACACACGCACGCACACACACACACACACACACACACACACGAGCGCTCACACTCAGCTCTCTACTTCTCTCCACCTCTCCCTTTCTCCCAACACCCGGCTTCCCACTGACCAGCGCTGCTAAGCTCCACGCATACACAGATTTCGTGCACATTTTGCTTTTTCTTGGTACTCTGCTCATCACTTTTCCCCCAGCACCTCACGGCATATCTACTAGTACTCAATCTCCATTGTGTGTTACAGTGTGTTTTAGTTTTCTGTTTAACCCTGATGATGGGCAGGGCCAGACCCAACCGAACATTCGGTGTGTAAATGGCTGCAATGGAGACTTCAAGGACTTAGAAAAGCCCTGCAATTGTTTTGAGTCTTTTGACTACAAAAATTGTAGCGAG